GCTGCACCTGCCACGAAATCTGCACATGGAGGTTCACAAAGTGCTGCACCTGCCACGCAATCTGCACATGCAGGTTCACAAAGCGCTGTGCCTGCTACGAAATCTGCACTTCAAGACACAAGTGAAACCTCTAATCCCAATGGCCGGACGATTCCGACCATGCCCGAGAATGATCCGAGACCGTCTCGCGCCCGTCGTTCCGCAGACCTTGACTTGCCAGCTTCGGAGCCACCGGTTCCATTGAAAAATACAGCATTTCGTGCGTTCGCTGTCTCTCCACAACGCATTTTGTACTGCGCCTGCACGACATCTGCACATGGAGGTGCACAAAGTGCTGTCTGCCACGAAATCTGCGCATGGAGGTTCACAAAGTGCTGCACCTGCCACGAAATCTGCACATGGAGGTTCACAAAGTGCTGCGCCTGCCACGCAATCTGCACCTGGAGCTGGAGTTGCCTGGAGCTTGAGCTGTTGAAACCAGAGCTGGTGTATGCGCGGTGTATGATGAGTGGTGTATGATGAGTGGTGTATGATGAGTGGTGTGTGATCAGTGGTGTGTGATGAGTGGTGTATGATGAGTGGTGTGTGATGAGTGGTGTATGATGACTGGTGTGTGATGAGTGGTGTATGATGAGTGGTGTATGATGAGTGGTGGTTGAACAGCTGTTGAATGTCCGTAACACGGAAGTTTTGCACGCTAAACTTCCTTTGACTATAGATTATACTGTGTGCGTGTCGAACTCAAACATGCCGCCGTGTGTCCCCACGCAGCCAACAAATTATCCAATAGAGCCATTATCGGTCAACATGTACTGTTGCAACTTCATGGTCCCAAAAATGAAGCCCAGAATCTGGCAGGGCAGCAGCTTTCGGAGGAAGTCACGGGCCCACTTTGGTGGCCCAAAAATGGACCCAGTGTTGGGGCCAAAACATTGAGTGAATATTTCGTGTTTGAGCGAGTGCTGGTATAGAACTTTTCTGCAAAAAATGCACATCGCTAGCGTTGCCCATTGCTTAACCTCTTCAAGGTATCTACCAAGTGTTTTGTCTCTATCTGGGGCACTTTCTGCCTCCTGGCACCTCCCCTCTGGAACCCCAGTGCTTCTGCTGGCTAGCCTTCTTGAGCCTTTCTGCTACAAGAGAAGATCTGATTGAAAGTGGCATGTCCAGCCAGCTGCATGCTACAGTGGCTTCTCAGCCACCACAAACGCTGCATTGACAATCAATCGAAAAATCAATCCAGGCATCATGCAAAGACAATCTTTTTGGTTTTGTGTTCACAGAAAACATCATTCTATTTTTTGTCATGTTCACTCAAAGATTGAATTTTGCCAAACTATATCAAAATTTAATCGATCTTTTTTCTTGTCTATCAAGGAGCCTCTGGGCCATCTGCTGAGCAACCTGCTGAGGGAGTGCTGGCACATCGCACCGCCTGGATATTCGCTCCCCATGAAGAAGTCTGCAGCCTCACATGACGGTGCGCTGGGGTTGAGAACATGCACTTCTACAAATGACTGCTTCCGCCGGCATATGTACTCCAATGAAGGCAAATTCACAACGTTCCTTCCATCATACCGGATGGCAACATCAATGACACTGCGGACCTCATCCTCGTACACTGCACGATCCACCCTCTGGAATCCGACTCGAACCGAGCATAGCAGCATTCCGAGACCTCTCTCACGGCCTTCTCCCAACATGACCTGAGACTCAGTGGGAAATCGAAGTCCACTTCGATGACTTCTAAGGGGCGCTTGTTCTTCGAACCACGGTTCTTGCGCTTCTTGCCACGGTTCTGCTTCTTTCTGCGCTGCTTGTCCCTCCAGGCTTTCTGAAGTTCCTGGGTGACAATAGGACATGTCAATCCTCTCTGCTGGATCTGCGAGCACACGCAATGACAGGCCGGCTGGTCAGCCCTAGGCATCCTTATTGACGGCCCGCCCACCGATCAACACGCCTGTCAACACGGTGACCCATGGGTTGGGTCCATACTACCCCTGTCCAGAAGTCTTGCCTGACGGCCTGGAACATTTCTCTCTGTTCGTCATGAACCTGCAAAGCTGTAAACAATACCTATAGGACTAGGATCATCTCTATAGGATCATCTAGGTGACCCATCTTGTAAACTTATAAAGCACAGAAAACGCGTTAACAGCTCACGGCACCTCCACAGCGCGCACAATCAGCTGACACCAGCACCAGTGCGCTTTGCCAGCTGACAACACCGGCAGCCGCGCCAGCACCCGACCAGCGCCTCTGCCCGTCTTAAACGCGCGCTCAGCCAGCTCACAGCACCATCCACCACGCCAGCTCACAGCACCAGCACCGGCACCCGGCACCCAGCACCAGCGCCGGCACCCGGCACCAGAACCAGCAACCTTTCTCCATCACGTTGCACAGCCAGCTCACAGCACCAGCACCGGCACCCAGCACCAGCACCAGCAACCTAGCTCCACCACGCGCGCAGCCAGCTCACAGCACCAGCACCGGCACCCGTGCACAGCCAGCTCACAGCACCAACAGCACCGGCGCCCGGCGCCCAGCACCAGCACAAGCAACCTGTCTCCACCGCGTGCACAGCCAGCTCACAGCACCAGCACCGGCGCCCGGCACCCAGCACCAGCACCGGCACCAGCAACCTGCCTCCACCACGCGCACAGCCAGCTCACGGCACCAGCAACCTGTCTCCACCACGTGCACAGCCAGCAGCACCAGCGCCAGCACCAGTCTCGAAAGCGCGCACGGGCAACTCATTGTTATTTGAAGTAAGAACCCCATAGCTTCGCTATCTGAGGAACAACGACGGGCTGCAGATTTTGTTTCCATTTTGTTTCCACCCCCTTGTAGAGACAAAGGAACAAGATATGTTGTAATGGGGCTGCAGTTTTTGTTTGTACCTTGTTCTTGTTGTTGTTGGCGGTGCTGCTGCTGCTGCTGCTGCCGGTGGTTGTGGTGATTTCGGTGACTTTGCGTTCTTGGCACCTTAGATGAGTTTGGGTAAACTTGCGACAATGAGCTACATGATAGGGTGTTCCTACTTCCTAAGGTTCCTCTACAAAGGCATTCGGAATTGGGTTGGAGGCCATTCCTATTAGGTTGGAGGCCATCACTCTTAGGTTGGAGGCCATTCCTCTGTTGGGGGCCATTCCTATTAGGTTTGAGGCCATCCCTATTAGGCTGGAGGCCATCGCTCTTAGGTTGGAGGCCCTCGCTCTTATGTTGAGGCCACTCCTATTAGGCTGGAGGCCATCGCTCTTAGGTTGGAGGCCATTCCTATCAGGTTGGAGGCCATCTCTAGTAGGTTTGAGGCCATTCCTACTAGGTTGGAGGCCATCGCTCTTAGGTTGGAGGCTGAGATGACCGGTTACGACGACGACGACGACTACTACTACTACCACTACCACTACCACTACCACTACCACTACTACTACTACTACTACTACTACTACGACTATTATCACCACTACTATTATCACTACTACTACTACTACTACTACTACTACTACTACGACTACGACTACGACTACTACTACTACTACTTCTACTACTATCATCACTACTACTACTACCACCACTACTACTACTACTACTACTACTACTACTCCCTCCTGCTGCTGCTGCTGCTAGTACTAGTACTGGTACTAGCACTAGTATTACTAGGCTACTACTACTTCTACTGCTACTACTACTCCTACAGCTACTACAAAACCGACCACAACGAAAACCAGCGCCACTAGTTCTAGCACAAAGCACTACACTACTGGTAAAAGTACTTATTGGCTGGTTGTTTTCGGGGGGTGGTCAAAAAAGCAACGACGGGCTGCAGATGTTGTTTCCATTTTGTTTCCACCCCCTTGTAGAGACAAAGGAACAAGATATGTTGTAACGGGGCTGCAGTTTTTGTTTGGGCCTTGTTCTTGCTGTTGTTGTTGTTGTGGTGGTGCTGCTGCTGCAGCTGCTGCTGGTGCTGGTACTGGTGGTTGTGGTGATTCCGGTGGCTTTGCGTTCTTGGCACCTTAGATGAGTTTGGGTAAACTTGCGACAATGATCTACATGATAGAGTGTTCCTACTGGTCCTAAGGTTCCTCTACGAAGGCATTCGGAATTGAGTTGGAGGCCATTCCTATTAGGTTGGAGGCCATCACTCTTCGGTTGGAGGCCACCGCTCTTCGGTGTTCTATTAGGTTGGAGGCCATTCCTATTAGGTTGGAGGCCACTCCTATTAGGCTGGAGGCCATCGCTCTTAGGTTAGAGGCCATTCCTATTTGGTTGGGGGCCATATCTCTAGTAGGTTCGAGGCCATTGCTTTTAGGTTGGAGGCCATTCCTATTGGGCTGGAGTCCATAGGTTGTACATTTCAACCGACTGACTGGCAACGTCCCTGCGCAGCCAAGGAGCCCGACGACTGTGGACCGCTCATGGGCCACAGCCCGGAAGAGGCGTTGTGTTGGGCCACGTGACAGACTGGTAGGGGGCTGACAGAGCGAAACGAGTAAAAAGGGTGGCAGGTAGGGGGCTGGCAGCTGTGCTGTTGCATGTTTGGATCAGGCTTCATGGTCCATTCATGGTTGTTGGCAGAGGTTAACATTCGCTTGCAGGCTTGCAGTGCACCCAGCGCACCCTAAACTCAAGGTTCAACATATTTCCGGAGCTGTACGCACTGCTCCAAGCAGGTTTCAACGATCGGATTGACCCGTCTTCGGTGCGATGATCCGAACGGACGCGATCGACCCGTTCGTTCCGCCGTGCGATCGACCGCAGGTGCGAGAGCAAGTGCTCCGATGCCTCAAGCAACGAAAGCAGCAGGCAGTCGACGGGAGATGAGAGCAATCTCCGAATGGCCAGAAGCTTTTGTGTGGTTTCACAGTCTCACGGTTTCAGACTGGTTCCGATAGTGAGTAGAAATCAGATCAAGTAGTCTCCTTGGTAGCCTTCCATCTTGTTTTGGGGTGGTTTGTTTACCCTAAACAGTTTAAGAAGATGGAGAAATGGTGTGCTCACGAGGCGAAGGTGGTGCAAGAGTCGCTCCGGAAGCGCCGCTTGGCTTGCCTCGGAGAGCGTTGGGCTGTTGGGACGAGCGTTGGACGAGCGTCGCAGGAGCGTCTTGGGACGAAAGGGGCGCGACAGAGAGAGAGAGAGAGAGAGAGATCCTCTGGTCGTCTCAGATCAAGTTCAACTTGCTTCTAGTAGCGTCCTCTTGTTCCTAGTAGTACGGCCAGGAGCCCCTAGTAGTGAACCTTGCCCGGAGACGGAGATTGTTTCCGTGAAAGATGAAAGCTGACTTCATGGTGACAGGGCCATACATGACCCAATGTGACCCGTTTTCGATCGAATTCGACTTGTTCGAACCAGTTCGGCTCGACGGCCTTGACCGAGGCTCCAAATACGAGATGATCACCGCCGCAGAGGTGGACAGAGTCGAGAAGCTCGCCAAGGACGAGTGACAACGTCGACATCGGCCATGCCGTTGTGAGGTCGACCGACGGCATCATGCCGAAGATCGACAGAAGTCGTAGTGACACTGTGCGTGTGGGAGACCGCTGTTGAAAAGCTTCTTTTGCAATGGGACAGCACTTCCCGTGTTGTTTTTTCATGTTGAGAGCTTCTTTCACTGGTACTATGCTTGTATGGGGATTCAAGCTCTATAAAGGGACGCCGGATTTTTATCGCGCAGGAAATTGGAGATGTGGACGCCATGAAAGCGGCGTACCTGAACGATCAAGAGAAGATTAAGGTGGACTGCGCGCGGACGGAAAAGTTTCTTGAAGACCGCCATGCAATGTTGGATGATGCCGTGATTGGATGTTTGATTTCAACTTCTACGCTGCTGTACAAGAGACAATTACTGAGTTGTCTCTGAAGAAAATTCGCAGTTCGATAGAGGCAGTGGGGCCAAGATGCGCGGAGCACAGTGGGACGCAGTTTTCGTCCCAGATCACTTCCACCATGTTCCTCCCCCCAAAAGATTACGCCCAACACATCACCCTACCTGTCGTTTGGCGGTTTGGCACGTCCAACCTGTCCAGGCAGCCTTGGTGAAGCGGAAGGAGCAGATGGATCGCCAGATTCGGCGCCTGGATCAAGACGGCCAGGACGGACGTCGAGACGTCGAGCTCCGCCCACACGGTCCGGTCCCGGCGGGGTCCAAGGCGATAGGGCGCGAGGCGCCCGTGAGAATGAGTCACCCCTGAGAATCCAAGTTCGAACGGATTCTTGGGGCCATCTCCAACAGTTCAAACATTCGTTTGAAGCAAAGCGGATTGTTTTCTATCCTCTTTTCCATCAGGTTTCATCCGTGTTTCAGCCCACAACTGTTCTAGATCTTCCCCGTGATCTTTGCGCCGCTGAAACCCATGGCCAGCACTGGCCGAAGAAGTGTTCACATGTTGGTACTGACATAGCAGTGGACAGCGTCTCATTGTTTCGTCCGACACTTGTTGGAAGAAGCCCTTCTCCGCTCAAGGTGAAGACTGAGGTCTTGAAGGGAGGGAGCCATGGTCCCAAACCTGTGGGTTAGAGCAATGGATCGCCAAGAAGGGCGAGGTTGGCTGAGGGCATGAACTCAGCCTGGACTGCAATGCTTCAAAAACAGCACCCACATAGCAGGAACAACCATGCAAACACCACAAAGAAGCGCAGCATCTTGCGTGCACTCTAGGCGTTCATGTGGCGCTTCACTGGACGCCCTCCCACTACCACTTCAACGAACCTGATGCTTGGGGCACGGCTGCTGGTGTCCAACGATTTGCTGGCACATGCCTTTGCGCACGCGGGGCTTGACCCACCAAGGGGCGTGCATGGCAGGCAGGGAAGCCTGCCGATCTCTAGCTCTTTGGCATTCAACTAGCAGCTAGCAGCTCCGCCATCAAAGACAACGGCCCATCTGGCCATTGAGCCGCGAAACCTTTGGCGAAACGCTTCTCTTGTCAGAGCCAAGCATGGTAAAGCCAGCCGTAACATAGCACACACCAGACATTGCGGAAAGAACGGGTTCATGACTCGGCCGTGACTCAAGCTGGTCGGCGCTCAACGAAGCTGGAGAGGAGGCCGGCGCTTCGCAAAAACGGTATCAAACAGCTCCACAAGAGCATGCGCCGGTGACTATGGATCCTGCAAGGGTCTTCCCAAATGGATCGCGCCTTCCCGCAGCTCCGGCATAAACCACTAGAGCGCCAGACCCAGCCCCTGGATCTGCCAGAAGAATTGAACAGAACGGCTAAGCGGTCCTCTCTTAGGAGAGGGAACTCAATTCAATTGACCGAAATAATGCGATCTGATTACGAAGAACTAATGACGGGCTGTGCAAACTTCTGAACGTGTTAGCTGAGAGTCTGAGAGCTCCAATCCACGCTCTTCAGCGTATGTTCGCCACTTGCAAGATGTCTACGACGCAACATGAAGAGCGCAATCTTGATGCGTTGCACCATGCGTTGCACCTCAAACACGAAGATGGGCCATGGTGCATTAGGTGAGGTCTACTGCAGCATCTTTCAGGTCTTTCAGACGCAGCGGGTAGCTGTCAAAGTCCTTCCCCGGGATTCTTCCCGAACTTCTGAGACATTCTACCTGCTTTGTGGAGGCACAGGCGCCCGCACATATTGAACATCCGCGCCTGTTTTTTGATCAGCCACGTATGCGTATTATCTTGCTTCAAAGCTAATCCTTGGCTACGACCCCGGGACCTGTCTGTGTGATGTGGCCTTCTGGTGGCTATGCCAAGGAGCTTCGGTTCCAGGCCTCGCAACTTGCAATGGCATTTTCCAAGAAGCCTGCTACTCACTACTTGGCCCCTGTGATCAGGAGCATCAACCACCAACCCGCCAAGCCGGGGGCTCCTTCTGGGTCGGCAGATGAAGTGCCCGGCCGGCTGCGCGCAAGACAGATCCACAACAGCCGCACTTGATCAGGAGAGGCCAACCAATTTAGCGATGGTCAATTCGGGCTAGTTTAATCATTGTTATGGTCATGTCCGTTTGTTTTGTCTGCGCTCTGTGCGGTCGGTCGTCTACGCCTAGTAGATCAATAGGAGCGCGGCGCGAACAACTTTGCGCCTAAACTTGGCCAGGCTTTTGGCTCCACTGACTTGGCACAGCAGTAGCAGTCCGTCGTTGCTGCCCGAGAAGCAACGGGGCGTTTGGTCACCCCAATCAACTCACCATCACCATCCTCAAACCCAGAGTCCACCCACTGCCACATAATTTTCTTGTAATCGCTTTGAACTTTTCGCGCAAAGCACCGTGGTGACACGTGACACCTTAGGGATTCTTACGGTCAGGCTTTAAGGAACTTCAAGATCCACGAAGCACTGCGGCCGCCACGAAATCTGCACGTCAAGATTCAACTTGCGCACTCTCGATTCGCAGTAGGAGCACTTCCAAAGACAACATCAAGTTGCCAAAATGCAGTTGTCGCTCAAGACCTCCTCCGATTGCTGAAAACAAGCCAATGTCCAAAAGTCACGATTCACTATACCTGCCACCACGCGCGCGCCACGACGCGCCTCCCGAACGCCTGCCGCAAAAAGCGGGCGCTTGCAAGCCCGAAAATGCGCCGCCGCAACGATAGAGCGCAGTCTCGAAGGCAAAAGGGAAAAGGCTTCTTCTCGCGCTCATCCGGTCGCAAAAAGGGACCAGCTTTTTGAGTCGCAAGGTTCGGGGGCGCTGAGACATCAATGTTACTGGCGTCCAAACCGAGGTAATCAGCACTCACTGGCTGTCCCACCATTCCGGTTTTTGGTTGCGATTGAGCGTTCGCAGTGTTGCGCGTCAAAGAGCCCCGCCTCTCCACCACTGAACTAGTTTAAGCACACTTGTTTGCTGGTGGTACTTCTTTCTTGGCTCTTTTTCATGGCCTCCTGGTTGGCGAGACCATGTTGCAGCTCAGTGCCCACAAGCGTGGTCTTTTGTCGGCGACGCGGTCACAAAGCTGTTCGACGCATCTTAGTTGATGAGCAAAGTATAGAAATAACAAAGACACAGCGCCCCATCAAAAATATGTTTTTTGGGGGGCCTTGTAGTGGCAAAATGTTGTGGCGTCGTCATCTTTTTTGACGCCTGTGAACCTATCCTAGATGAGAAGCATGAAAGAATCACGCTTGTAGACTATCGGCCACGCTGTTGGCTGTTGGCGCTGGTTTGTTGCTGCGTACAAAATGGTGGGCAAACGTTTTTGACTCCAGGATGCAGCGGATTGAGCCTTTGATAGCCTTTCAAACGTATATATGTATATATCTACTCATATTTATATGAAGAATGAAAGTATTTATAGCGACGATTATTTAGGTAATAGATTCTTATTTATCAATTTTTTCTGAATTTGAATCATTGAAATATGTCATTTTAATGCTATTTAGTTTTTGTTTTAGTAATTGATTGGGCTTGATGAAGAAACAAAAATTCTTTTCGACGATTATTTAGTCTATTATTAATATAATTTGTAGTATGTTTATAGGGGTTTAAAAATATAAATTATTATATTCCTTGTATATTAGGAACATTATTTTAATTGAAATATTCTTGAAGGAAGCAAAATAATCGAGTGAATGGCGTCTTTAAAATGCGACGTAATTTGAGTGGGTGGATATTTGTTCTTGTTGGTGTTTTGTGGTTGTTTGGTGTTTTGTAGTTTGAGAAATTAGTTGTGTTTTGTGGATGGTTTGTTATAATTTGATAATGTATTATTTTTGATGTTTTATAATTTTCGAAATATTATTATAAAATTTAAATTGACGCGAAAATGATGTTGTAGTTATTTGATGATTTAATGGTATTTGGGTTTTATATTGGCGCTTAATAATTTATTTTCGATTGGTGATTTTTGTATTTATATATTGATATTTTTATTACATTTGTATTATAAATAAATGGAAGAGCGAAAGTATTTAAATGCAAAGTATGAAATGTTAAAGTATGTAAGTGTAAGTATAATGATGTAAGTGTAATGATGATGGTAAGTATGTAATGAGTAGGTAAAGTATGTAAAAGTACGTTATGAATATATAAGCATGTAATGAGTAGGTAAGTATGAGTATGGAAAATTAATATGGAAAATATTTTTATGAAAAATATTTTTTTATTTTATATATTTTTTCTTAAAGATATAGGGTGGGATAAAAAACGTTAATCGAAAATGCAATGTTCTTTGGAGATCGTATGGATCGAGTATGTAAAATATAGGTGAATGCGACACGCCGGTTGCGCGCGTAATCCTTTGCGGAGATCGTGCGCGTCGAGTGCACGAAATGTAGAACAATTAACTCGCATTTTGATTTTTTACGTAATGAAGAATGCTTTCGAATTATTCGTCGTTAAGTTTTACTTTTTTTTCGTTTATTATTTCCCATACGAAGGATATAAAAATTATTATTTGTACAAATGTGAGGGCGTTAAATTTTGTTTTTTTATAGTGTTTTATTAATTGGCTGGATCCGTTTTCGCCTCGGCTGCGCGTCGCAACTGGTTTATGTTTACGAAATAGAATGCAAGAAGGCCATATTATTAGAATTGGGGATTGGCATATAGAGCGAAATGTTTTTTCTTGATAAAAATGCATTATGGATGATCCTGCGTTAGGAAGGCAAATAGTTTAGCTAGCGGCGCTGCTAATGTATTATTGACTAATAATAGATTCTTAATGAATTTTGTATATATTTCCTGAAATTATGTTATAAAATACGCCTTTCGCGGGCTCCGTATATTACAGTTCTACTACTAAATCGCCAATTCTTATCTTCCAACTCCCTAGATACTCCGCGTCTTCAAATTATGCTACCAAGTCCCTAAATCTCATCTTCTAGCTCCCCGAATATTCCGCACCAAAACCCCAACCGCTTTTTAGCTCTACCGATTGATTTGACTGGGCCAGGCAGTACGCGAACTATGTGGGGAGGTGCAAGCTGAGAATTGGCCACTTTGTGGTGCAACTGCAATCTGGCGAGCTGGAAGATGAGAATTGTTCATTTTGTAGTACAACTTTAATATCCGGACTAGCTTAGGAGCTGGAAGATGAGAACTGGCGATTTTCCAGTACAACTTTTGTGCGCGGAGTAATCTGTGGAGTTGGCTGGAAACTGAGAATTGGCGTCTTTGTAATGCAACTTTAATACGCAGAGTAATCTGTGGGGCTTGAAGTTGAAAATCGGCGTCTTTGCTGTAGTATGCGGAATTGTTGGGGAGCTGGAAGATGAGAACTGGCGACTTGGCAGTGCAACTTTTGTAGTTGCGAGCCTCAGCTCATGGCCGGTGATGCGCGCGGGGGTATCCGAGAATGGTTTGTCTTCCGAAGGCCAGAAGTGGTATGTGCCAAACAAAGCAAGACATGTCATGCGATGCATCGGCATGCGAGCGAAGTGGACCAGCCATTAAGTAAGACGGCAATGAAGAAGAGTAAGAATGGACGGAATTCTCAATCGCAAGATCACTGATGTGTTGTTCCACCTCAACAGTTTGCTTTACGTGGCTATGAAGGGCGCGAACTTTGCATAGGGAAAGATATATTCTTGCACCAACTTCAAGTTGTGCCCCAACAGCACAGATATTTGACAATAAAACAAACTGCCAGCAACCAAATACGCATGGCACTAGCGTGCCGCAACAAAAAGGCTGGTAACTTGAATCTGATCTGCAAACATGCTTTTCTTAGAGAGTGGAAGCGACAGTACAAACGGCAGGGAAAACCAGATGTCTTAAGTATGGCCTGACTTTCAGCCTGGCTAGAATGACTCCTTGTCAAAATTCGCTGTACGCTATGGAGAGCTCCAAGCTTTGCACAGGAAATGCCCATCACGCGTTGACCTTGGCCCTGAAGTTTTGTTCCTGATCCCCATGGCGTTTCAATTGATGGAGGCTGTGAAAATTTGGTAAGCTGCTCACCAGAAAGGTCGGTCGACCACACCCGTTTGGGGCGTGCGGCGGCTACAGTGCTGTTTCACTTTCTCCTCAAGAATTTGAAGGACCCCAGAGGTGGCGCACTGCAGCGCCCGACTTTCCAAGCAGGAAACTCGCGTGATTCTTGAAGATCGCTTCCATGCCTTGTCCATCTTAAATTCCAGAGTTTTTGGAAGGACCACAAAGACAAAATGTTTGCTGGTGGATTTGGAAACTTGGCTTGGTGGAGGCGGGGCTCGCTCGCTCCGCATGCGTCGTGGTTCACGTCCTTGTTGCTTCAGCAAAAAGGTGAGCTTTTGGGCGCCAAGCCCATGAGTGGCCTGGCCCGTAAGGCCAGGCCTCTAGCTCAAGTTGCGCTTGAATGCAAGCTGCACTTCTTCTGGCAATCAGTGGCAGATTGCTACTCTGCAATTTTTTGCTATGGTTTCATATCTTTCCATTCAATGTTGTTTGTTACAAGTAATATTTTCGGGGTCTACGTTTTTCTCGCAACATTGAATTGGATACTTTTGGATCAGTTGGCTCAGCTGCTTTTGCTCAATTCTTGCATCAATTTTCCGCTGGACTGCTTCGTAACAGGTGATTGTGCAGAAAACGACCGTCTTTCAACTCCAAGTGTTTGTCGGAGCATTGATTCAATGTACAATGGATATAACATGGTCAGAGTCCTCACCCCTGCAAGATCTTCGATACAAATGCCTGAATCCTATATGCAGAGTTCTAGAGCCACCAACATGTTGCACTCACTCACAAGAGAAGATTTCTTGACCTGTTAGTTCATCTTGACCTGCTTGGAGATCATGCCTCGGAGACAACAAGGAGATTGTGTCAATTTTGAACCCGGTCTACTGAAAGCCGATCTCAATTTTTGGGGGGAGCCGGGCTTTCATTCTCCAAAGCACGTCTTCATCTAGCAGGATATGTGTGATGCGTTGTGATGCGTCATAATATGTCGCTGTTGCCACCAAGGGCCATTAGATGGGTGCAGATTGAGGACTCTCTGGAAAGCAAACCAGCATCAGGATTCTGGATTAAACGAGGAGGACAACTTCCATGTACAGTCAGCGCACGTAGCAGGGGCAAGAAAGGCTAGCAAACAGTGAACGTCGATGTTTGTTCAAGGTCATGTGATGGATGTGCGGGATCCATTGTCAGCTTGGGTGCTTCTCAAATCTGAATCTACCTATTCTGTTTTTGTCAGCTTAAATTTTTAATTGCGCCACGAAAAATAGCTGAAGATAATACGGTTTCTTCCTCCTTCAGATATTCCTGGAGCTGTTCATATTCGATGTAACTATGCACGAGCAGCAAGTGCCTAATGGCACGCGGTTTGCATGTCTGCGTTCCGCTGGCCACGTTGGTGCTGTGCATCTGTTGAGGCTGTTGGCTCTTTTGCAAGCATCTTCATGCAAGCGCTAGCCTCTTTGCAGCCATTTGATATTGAGGGATGGTCAAAGTGGATCTATGATCTTGTCAATCCATGACCTGATTAATGTTTGCACATCCAAAACCTCGGCGACGAGCCAGACACCACGCATTATTTCCAACAAGTGTGATCACATGTGAGGTCAGATCACAGGGCAAGTACTGAGCCGAATAATTATATTTCATATTTGGACGTTTCACTTTTCACCAAGGCTGGCGCGAGGCACCTCCGCATGGCTGGGGCGGACACCAATATGCTCTTGCCTCCTTTGACAGTTCCCAATTCACGCACGATTCAAGCGCCACTAAACCTCGTCTCACAAGTGCAGCATGGGTTTGCCCCAAGCTCACTGTGGACGTTCAAGGAGCATCTAGAGTGCTCACATGTGAGGGTCCTTCTTTCATGGGTTGTTGGACGAGAACGATGGAGAGCGAAGGCCGCGTTGGGGCGCAAACGAAGATCATATGCGGGAAAACCTGTTAAATATAGTTGCATGCAACATCCGTTATACCAAGTGCCAGGAAGATACTAAAATAAGGGATGCCATATGAGAGTCAAACAAAAGATATGAAATCACAAGGCAAACTTATCACTCTTGAGAGGACCCTATCGCCTTTTCGGGCCGGGCTACATGTTCATCACAGCTAAAAATATCAAAATTTTCATTGACATGGTTATCGCTTTTTGGGGGGATGGGGGGCCTATCGCTTTTCCAGGTTATTTCACCTTTCAGTTGTTTCAGCCAACTTTCTATATTTCATGACCACTTCTTAATATATAGGTCATCACTGATTTTGGAGGTTCTTCACATGATGTCAATTACGCGTTCGCCAGGAGGATAGGCAGAACTAGTGATCACTTTCACTGATAGCCTGCAAATACTCAATGGTCAGGTAACATACAG